TTTTTTTTCCCCCCAGAGAATGTTTCATTTTTCATGTAGCCAGAAATTCAAGATGTAAATTGGTGAGTGTGCTGAGTGTTGAAGTTGCAAGTTTGACCCAAAGACAGCTTCTATGACAAAAGTTCAGACATATATTTCCCTYGTATATTCATTCAACAAATGATATTGAGTGCATCCTCTGACAGGTGCTGCTCTGGGTACTGGGGATACAGTAAGACTGACATTCTAGCTGTCAGGAGACAGGTTGGGAATTTAATAATAAGTATTAACCAAAAATAACAAAGAAGTTGCCAAATTAGTACAGATTCTGAAAAGACCTGCTCTGAAGAAGGAGAAGGAGGGAGGAATGGTGGGGGCTACTTTATGGAGGGTGATTAAAGCAACTTCTGAAAGGGGCCTTTGGCCAGATTCCTGAGAGATGTTGAGGCACAAAACCATGTCTGGGGTATCTGGAGCAGTGGCAGCAGTTCATGCCAGGGCTCAGGAGCATAGGGTTGGAGGGGTTAGGCCTATGGGAGGAGCAGGGTGAGTGAGTGGAGTGGAGGAGGGGCATGATGAGCCTTGGCTGGAGGCAGAGCCTGATGGTAAGGGGAAGGGAAGTTGGTAAGGGGAAGGGAAGCCGTGGGGAGTGAGCCTTGCTGGAGTCCTAGGGACTTCTGTGATTCATATCTGTAAGCCGTGGCACATGCTAACAAGTCAGTGCTGTACTGGAGGATGGGGAATAAACATGAGTCCTCAGATCAGCATATATTGTTAGGGTGGAAAATTCAGGAAAGCGATGGCAGTGCTTCTGGGGTGAAAGGACTTGCAGGAAGGTCAGGAGAAGGAGGGACACTTATTTTTAGTCTGTCTTTTAGTAGTGTTTGCATTTTTATCACGTGTATTTTTAAGAAGCCTCTTTATTAAATATGCCATTTATATGCATATAAAATTTGATTTTTGCCGAAAAAAATCTTACCTGTAATGTTGATAAAAATACAAAGGGAGCCAGGCACAGTGGTGCATTCCTTCATTCTGAGCCACCCTGGAGATTGAGGGAAGAGAACACTAAGTTCAAGTTCAGCTGGGACAACTTAAAAAGACCCATTTCTTTTTTTTTTTTTTAATTTTTATTTATTTTTTTTAGTCATACATGACAGTAGAATGCATTTTGATATATAATACATACATGGAATGTACATACATCAATCATATTGAAAAAGACCCATTTCAAATTAAAAAAAATATATATATGTGTGTGTGTGTGTGTGTATTTTTTCCAAACAGATTCCTCCTCTGAAATATAAAATAATTTGGTAAATATTTAGAGGCTGCTTGGCATTTGTATTTCTGTGAAATCCATGTGTTGACACTTGAGTGCTTTCAACAAGTGAAATGTACTGTTTTCATATAACACTTTGTTTTTATTTTTTATATTTCATATATTTTCCTTTCCCCAGGCGACAGAAACAGATGTCAAAATCAGTATATGCACCCGAGCCTACCATTTACTTGTGAAAAAACTGGGCTTTAATCCAAATGACATCATCTTTGACCCCAACATCCTCACCATTGGTACTGGAATGGAAGAACATAACTTGTATGCTATAAATTTTATCCATGCAACTAAAGTCATTAAAGTAAGTAAGGGTCATTTTCTCTTTTCTATCCAAGACATCTCAAATTTATCACAGGGGTCTAGTGAATGGTTAGCGTTATCACATATTTTTGGATGGGGATGTTGACATTCTCATTGTGTAGTAAATTTTCAAGTTAGAGACTTTAAAATTTTTTGTGATGCTGTTTAAATTATGAAGTGGGACACACTTCATAGTGTCACAGTGTAACACACTTAAGCTTGTGTGTCTCTCCTTTTCTGGGTATACCTCATTCTGAATTTCATGTCATAGTCATCATCCTGATTTAACCATATTATTTAGGGTTATTTTTTTCCTAAACTTTGTTTTGATGGCACGGGGGAGTGAATCCAGAGTATTCTACTACTGACCTACATTTTCAGCCCCTTTTATTCTTTCATTTTGATACAGGGTATTGCTAAGTTACTGAGATTAGCTTCAAACCAGTGATCCTTTGCCTTGGCCTCTTGTTTTGCTGGGATCACAGGTGTGTGCCACTGTGTTCGGATGGTGGTTTTGCTTTTTAAGATGGCCCTAAGGCTTATGTTGGCTTGGCTAGCATTCATGAATGGAGGAAAGCTGTGATGTGCCCAGCATTGATGGGCTGATGAAAAGGTTGTGACCAGGTATTTCTCTTGGAGCAGGGCGTCAGTATTCCCTATTTCAGAGTTTACAGTGACTTTATAGGACAGAACTATGAGAACCAACTGAATATCTAAACAATATAGTTTAATTTTGCCTGTTTTTTTAGCTTGAAGGGAATCATAAGATATTTATGACTTTTTTCTTTATTCATACTCATTTTAAAGATTCATGGAGGGGCTGGGGTTTTGGTTCAGTGGTAGAGTGCTTGCCTAGCACTGGATTCGATCCTTAGCACCACATAAAAATAAATCAATAAAATAAAGTTATTGTATCCATTTACAACTAAAAAAAAAAGAAAAAGAAAAAGTTTCATCTGCATTGCTGTAACTGTCATTTGTTCATTCTTTGAATGTATAATATTCCATTGTATCATTACGCCATAATTAACCATTCTACCATAGAGGGAAAACTGATTTGTTTCCAGCTTCTGGGCCTCATGAACAATGCTGCTGTGAACATTCTTCTATACATATCTTGGGCACACATGCCCAAGTTTCTTTAGCATATACTCCAGAAGCCCAGTGGTTGGGTCATAATACTAGATAATAGCAAGCTGTCTTCTTCAGTGCTTGAGCCAGTTTGTCCTTGAGCCAACAGTAAATCAGAGATCCTGTTGTTGCACATGCCTGATGATGCTTGATATTATCATAGGTGCAGCAGGAACCTCAGTTGCCTTTTGTCCTTTTATAATTGGTCAAGTTTATAATGAACAACAGCGTTTGTTCATTTAGTTATAAATACCTTCAGGTAGTTTGTGCTTTCAATGAATGGGGAACTGTGTGTGTGTGTGTGTGTGTTTGCTTGCACACTAACATGCTCTCCCTCTACCACTTTCTTCTCTATCATTTATCCAGCAAGGATTTTATGGAATACTCATTATATATTATACCCTATCAGGGTCATTACTGAAGTACACAGAGATAAAGTAGAATTTTATATTTTCCCTTAGGGAGACTAAAGTCTAGTGAGGGACACTGATGAAGCTGTGCCTTTACAGCACCATCATACAGCAAACTTGGGTCTGTGTCTGATTACAGAAAGTTCTGTGTTACTTTGGACTTGTTTATTTTCCACTCATATAAAGCTTAAGAACTGTGATTGGTGTTTTGAGCAAAATGGACACTGTTTTCACATTTTAAAATTTTTGCCAGGAAACTTTACCAGGAGTCAGAATAAGTGGAGGTCTTTCCAATTTGTCCTTCTCCTTCCGAGGAATGGACGCCATCCGAGAAGCAATGCATGGGGTTTTCCTTTACCACGCAATCAAGGTATGATTGAAGGCCTGTTTGCCCTTGAAACCAGCTTTCACTTAGGGCAAGGTTTGTCCACTGTGGCCCTCAGACTAACTGGCCTGTGATCAGTTTCTGTAAAGGAGGTTTGTTTAGGGTACCCCCAAAATGCAGCATTCACCTGTATTTTATCTAAGGCTGCTTTGGGGCACCAATGCAGAGTCAATTAGTTGTGACTGAGACTATGGCCTAAAATGTTTTCTTTCTGGTTCCTAGTTTAGGGCATCACTGGAAATCCTCACTTTTCTTTTTATTGCCCTTAGTTTGGTATGGATATGGGGATAGTGAATGCAGGAAACCTCCCAGTATATGATGATATCCACAAGGAACTTCTTCAGCTCTGTGAAGACCTCATCTGGAATAAAGACCCTGAAGCCACTGAGAAGCTCTTACATTATGCCCAGGTAGAGAGAAAAGTGTCTAACATGGCTTTTTCCTTTCTTTGAATTTATTACTCACAATTATTGGACCTTCATTGTAGAATAGAAGCACATACCTAATCATGTCTTCGGATCAACGAACATTCTAGAGAAGGTATTGTGGTTAGGGTAAGGAAAGAGAAATGGACCATTCCTACTCTGCTTCAGCATTCTGAACCTAAATTTCTTTTTTTGGTACTGGGGACTCAACTACTGAGCCACATCCCCATATTAATATTTTTTATTTTGAGACAGGGTCTGGCTAAGTTGTGTAGGGCTTTGCTAAACTGCYGAGGCTGGCTTTGAACTCCTGATCCTCCTACCTCAGCCTCCCGTGATGCTAGGATTACAGGTGTGCACTGGAACTTAAATTTCTATGTATTTGTTTTGAAGTGTGAAATATATTTTTCTTGTAGCAAGTGACATATATTACTTCTAGAAAATTTACAAAATACAGGTAAGCAAAAGGAGAGAATAAAATCACTCATATTCCCACCACCCAAAGTATTTGGAATAGACTGCTTTGTCTTAACCCAGCAATTCCATCCCTTAGGCAGGAATTGTCTGGTTGTGTGGCTGGTAGAACATGTATCAGTGAAGGGAATATGAACTTTAGAAGGACTTTTTCTTTTTTTAATTATTCTTTAGATTTTTCTACATGAAAGACTCCTATTKTTGTTATTCCAGTTACCACTCTGGTCCTATATCTTGGTTTTCTCCCCAGATCTTTCTTTCTTTTATTTGTACTGGTAACTTGATGTCTTCATGTTTGTTTTTATTGGCCTTTCCTGTTATCAGCACTCAGGCTAGGCCCCTTCTGAATTTCCCTTAAAAACACTACTTTTAATATGACGCTGCAGCTCCAGAACTGTGACGAGTATCTCCTGTCCCACCACACAGTTGCCCTGGAGGTTAAGTCCAACTCCACAGCATGAATTTCTGGCCCTCTGTGATTTGCCTCTACTATCCTTCACAAGCATTGCTCCAGCAACATCAGTTTTTGTTCAACATTAATGCATTCAGCTGATGTTCACTGAGACCTGCAGAAAATGTACAGAGGTGATCTTAATCCATTGTGGTAGGTGCTGTGGTAGGGGAGGCACAGGGTGCTATGAGGATGTTGAGGTGGCATTGACCCCAAAGGTGGAGGTGGTTAAGGAAGCTTGCCACAGGAATGAGAGTTCAGGTGAAAATTGAAAAAGAAGGAAGAGCTGCTTGTGCATCTCACCAGACCTGGTACTGTGGTTGGTCAGTGTCATAATTCATGCTGGGCACTCTGCTGCGAGCTGGGAATGTAAAAGAGTAAGACAGTTTATTAGTTGCTGCCAAATGGTTCAAATAAGTGACTTCCTGCATCTATTTCTTCGTTCAAATTTCAATTCATTTCAGACTCATGGCAAAGGAGGGAAGAAGGTCATTCAGACCGATGAGTGGAGGAACAGTCCCATTGAACAACGGCTAGAGTATGCTCTTGTGAAGGTGAGTTCGGGAACCTGCACTGGCCAGCTGATAGCTTGTCACTGCTGTCTGATGCCATTGTGGGAGGGTTGTTTGTGATAGCAGCTGGAGCAAGAGAGGCCATGGACTCCTGGTTGCTGATTCTCAACCTGGGTGGCCCTCCTGCCCTGCATTATATGATAGCACATTTGGCACTGTCTAAAGGTATGTGTGGTTGTCAAGGTGGGGGTGGGAGATGTCACTGGAATCCCAGTGACCAGGGATGTTGCTCAACGTCCTGTGGTATACACCACAGCCCTCCACAACAAAGACTATTCCAGCCCAAGGTCAGTAGTACTGAGGTTGAGAACCCTACCCTGACCAGGTTGCTTTTAGTCTGTCAGCAAGTCAGTACTGGTTCTTCTCTGGATGTTTGGGATTTTGGTGAGATAAATAATCTTTTGGCTTCAGTTTTCCCATTTGTGAGTCTGGAGAATTTCAGAGTTCTTTTTTGGAGGGAGTGGCATCTAAAATTCAACTCTTGCCTTTTGTGATTCACATATTTCAGTTTGTGGAACTAGTTCAGCCACATCCAAGATCTGTGAGTTGGGGACCCTGGAGGAGGGCTTGTTCAAGCCTAGATTGGGGAGCCTCCTCTTTTTGAACTTCACCTGAGAACCCCACTCACCCTCATTCATCTTCCAGCCAAGTAGTGAGAAAACACTGATTTGGCAGAGATATTATTAAAGTATAACCTGTTAAAATACAAGAATACAAACATCTGAGTTAGAAATCTACTTATTAGTCCACCTTCTCATTAATAGCACACTTTTTGTGAGTATTACTTTATATCAAGAAAGCCAGCTAAGCACTTAACATGGGTTTTAAATTTAATTTAATAAATCTCAAAATGTATGAATAAGATATTGTGGCACTCTTAGGAAACTAAAGCTTAATAAATGGCTTGAGTGGGTGCTGGGAGCCAGGATCTGAACTTACACAGTCTGATTTCAGGACTCTCATTCTTAAGCATATCTATGAATCATTTTCTGTTGGTTATTTGGACTTAAGCCATTTTTTTCCCTTTATTCTTCCCACAACCTTTTTTTTTTTTTTTTTTTTGAAGGGCATTGAAAAATATATTATCCAGGATACTGAGGAAGCCAGGTTAAATCAGGAAAAATATCCCCGACCTCTGAATATAATCGAAGGACCCCTGATGAATGGCATGAAAGTTGTTGGTGATCTTTTTGGAGCTGGAAAAATGTTTCTACCTCAGGTTGGCAAAAATAGGGAGACATGTTCACAGTTGAATCTCTTCCTTGTCTTAGTGAGTAGTGAGTTTGGTTACTCTGTTCAAGTTTTGATTTGGACCAGTCCTTGCCCAGATGTGTTTTGAAGTTGTGTGGGGAAACCCGTCTTTAGAGTGGTGTGGAAGCTAGAAATCATCTGGAAATTGCTAGCTTCGTAATTTTTGTTCTGATTTTCTGTACCACCTTTTACTCTCAGAAGTAAAGTAAGACTCAAGATAGATTTGATTTGACCAGCAAGTGTTCATCTTAAATAATACATACTTTGAAAAAATATTACTGTTTTAAATAGTTACATTAAATGATAGATTTCAAGTAAGAACACCACTCTTTATTTTGAATTGCAGCAGCTGCTAGCCCATGAATTAACAAACACTTGCTAAGCATCTAGGTTAGGGGCCTGAGGCAATGAAGGATGGAAGGGGACTTGTCTTTTCTGAGGCTCAATTTTAAGGGAGTGTGGAGAAGAGAAGGCTGAGAATGAGCACATGGTGGGGGGACTTTAACCCTGAAAGATAAGCGACAGAGGCCTTCTAGCCAGAGAAAAACTAACAGGCAGAAGTTCAAGAAGATGGAAGTTTCAATGTTTGGTTTCTAGCCTTGTTTTCCTTCTGCTCTGCCTCCTTCACTGGCCTTTCCCTCAGGGAGCTTATTTTTCACTCTGCTCACTGTCAGAAGCAGAGTCCAGTATAGCTAGCCCGAAGTTAAAAGTGTGTGTTCTGAGCTTGTGCTGGGGTTTCACAGGTGCCATCAGAAGCCATGTGGTTGTCAATGGCTGTGGTTGCAGTAGTCAGTCAGATAACCAGCTCTGCTTTTTCCCAGGTTATAAAGTCAGCTCGGGTCATGAAGAAGGCTGTTGGCCACCTTATCCCCTTTATGGAAAAAGAAAGAGAAGAAAACAGAGTGCTTAATTGCACAGTAGAAGAAGAGGCAAGTTGTTTTTTTTTTTCAGGCCTGTGGGCCCTTTATGGAGCGGGCCTGGGAGACTCCTGTTTGGGTGGGGTAGGGGACTAGGCATCAGGCTGGCTTGCTGTTTATCACTAAAGATAAAGTAGAGAAATGATCCAACATCTGTCCCTCCTTTTACCAAGCTTCAGGATAACTTAGGGTTTTCCTTTGAATGTAGYTTTATGAATTTTTTAATACAGATGTAATTTTTCAATCAAGACARTCCTTCGTTAACTGATATTTACTTTGTACCAAGTTTTGTGCTGATACTGCAGCTACGAAGACCTGCTCTTGTTTTTTAGGTAATGGGCTAATGATTGGTTTTGGTTGATTTTTTTGAACAAACAAATATTCTCTCTCTACTAATAGTGTCCTTGATACCACTACTGAATTCAGTTTAATTTTTGCTGATTGTATCACCAGAATAAATCATTAAGCCTTTTAAATTTGCTTGGTTCCCAGTGAAGCTCAGGCAGCTTTGGCTCTTGGGATTCTTAATTCTTCAATTGATCCAGCCCAGACAGACATGGTGTTTATAAAAACGCCATTGCCTTGCTCACTGTTCCTTGTTTTTTCCCTTGGAGGGTAGGCRATGTGCTGGCAGCGTACATAACAACCATGTGGAAGAAGCAAAAAGTTACCCCTAATACCCTCTGCACTGGGCCAGTGTGGTGATTTTCAGATTCTGGCAGTGGGCATTGCAGTGAACATCTCCTCTTTTCTACCCCCTCCTCTAAATGTTGACAGTAAACATTTATCAGACAGTTTTGGGGTGAAGGATATGGTCTTTAGCTGTGGGATTGTTCTGTTTAAACTTGAGAGGTTGCAGTGCACAATCTTGGTTGAAGCCCTTGTGGTTACTCTGCAGATGGGCTCATTTGAACTGCTCGAGCTTACAGTGCTCTGCTTGCCTAGTGCAGTATTTGGGTCTGAGGCTCRTCTTTGAGGTAATTGTATTAATCCCTTTCTGGGTTGGCACCTACCTAGCTCTCGAGAACTACGTGGTCTGCTCTGAGGAACTCCAGTCATGCTCACTGTGTTGCTTGCTTTCAGGACCCTTATCAAGGCACCATTGTGCTAGCCACTGTGAAAGGTGATGTGCACGACATAGGAAAGAACATAGTTGGAGTGGTCCTTGGCTGCAATAATTTCAGGTAAGCTTAGACCTCACCTTTTCATCCCTTTGCTATTCAAGAAGGGAAATGTTTCAACAGGTTAATTATTGAGGGAGGAAGGTAATGAGTAATAGTAGATGTTAGAGGTTATTTTTTCATTTATTTATTTTTTGTCTACTCTGTTTTCAAATTGTCCACAGTGAAGACAGTTTTTCAAATGCAATAAGTTAGTAATTATCTATTATGCATTCAGTGAGGACAAAAAGAATAGGAAAAGCTATTTGGGCAGGTGGACGTAGCCAAGAGGCTTCTTGTGAATGGGCATCATAACATAGACCCCGAGGGCCAGAACATGGGGCTCCCCATGGCAGTCAGCATTTTCCCTTTTTCCTCTCAATAAGCTGAGAGCAGAGATTGTATGAGACCTGATTGAATGGAGTTTTATAGGGTGGTTTTGTCTGTGTAAATGCTCATCATTAATTATTTAGATGCTTTTAATTTGTTATATTTTGAAAGGGAGATTTGCAAGAATTCGTTTTGTTTTTTTAACGAACTAGAAATGGTCACAGATTCTGCTAAGGGCAGGTGGGAAACAGTGGGGAAGGTGAAGACTGGTGCAGGTACTTCCTTCTGTTGGTGGAATGTGTGAATTGCAGGGGGGAGTGACAGCAAGTGTCAGGTGCCTTTGAAGAGGGCAAATGCAGATTTTTTTTACTTTTTTATTTTTAATAAACACATAATAATTGTACATAAATATGAAATATGATGTGCTGTTTCAATTCATGTAAGCAATGTGCTGCATGTATGCAGTGTGCGACCTGTGTACGGTGGGCAGCGATCAAATCAGGGTGATTAGTATTTCTGTCTCCTTATCATTTCTGTATGCTTAGAACCTCTCAGCTCCTTTTCTTGTTCTTTGTAAAATATATAGTAGGTTATTGTAAACTATAGTCACCCTCCTGTGCTGTAGAGCAGGAAATTATTCCTCCCAGCTGTGTTTTGGTACCTGTTATCCAGCTTCCTCCTCTCCTTCCTCCCCTGCTCTTCTTAGTCTCTACCAATAGCTATTCTACTCTCTTATAYTTGTGACATCAAGTTTTTAAGCTACACATATGAGAGAGAACATCTTTGTATATCTGGCTTATTTCCCTTAATATAATGTCCTCCAATTTCATCTATTTTGCCACGAATGACAGGATTTCGTTCATTTTTTATGACTGAATGATATTCCCTTATATATTTCATTATATAAATATTATTTTATAAATATATATTACATAAATTATATAAATATAAATAGTATTCTATTATACATATATTCATCCATCAGTGGGCACCTGTGTTGATTCTGTATCTTGCTATGTAGGTTTATTTTTGTGATTTTTTTTTTGTCCGATAACATTTATTTTCTAAATTCTGTATGTTCTTAAGTAGTTATGGATGACATTGCTAAAGCATTTAGAATAGCTTCAATATTTTTTTGAATTAGAAGCTCAAATTAAATGCTTACAGCCATGTTATGAGCACTCACAAAGAAGGTTAGATTATAAAATCAACATTTTTCATGACTTCTTTCATTTTTATTCTCTTCAGTCTCCCAAGTGGCAGAATGCAATAATGTGCATAGGATGAGCTACAGACTGGGGTGCGGCTCTGAGCCAGAGGAGAACCCTGGGAGAGTCAAGAAAGACAAGGTGTTGGGGTGGGAGTGGGAGGTTGTGGTAGAGGCGAGGGAATGAACGGTGATTGGTGAGATGCTCCTGACAGAAGAGCGAGCAGTGACAGCAAGGTAGCACTGGCATCATGCTGGTGGGTTTTAATTGGATTTTAAAAACACATGCAATGTTGAAAAACTCAGCTTTGAAGTGCAGGCCTTTTTGTCTGGACTTAGAGGCAGTGTACTCTTTTGCCTAGTTTTATATGCAGGATTCTGCGCTTCTCATTGTATAACAATATATCTGGTTATGAGACTTTCTTCACTATATTAAAAAAGAAATGTGCTACTGCTGGCTATCTGCGGCCTCCAGGTTGTCCATTATTCATGCCCCTGGCATTTGCTACCAGGTTAGAACTAACAAAGCTGAATATAGTTAATTCTTGATTTGAAACTGTCAAAGTTTCTACTGAGGGTTCCATGTGTGCTAACTTATTTAAAGAAAAGAAAAAAAGGATTAAAAAAAAATACTATGAGAACAAGCTGAAAATCCAACAGTACAAGAGGGCACACAGTGAGAAGCAGGCCTCCTTCCTACCCAGTGTCCAACACCCATGTTGCCAGCTGGTGACGTATCATGTAAAAGTTCATACTTACACTTTTAAAAATGTGAACCTTTTACTATTGAATTTTAAGAATTGTTGATATAATTAAATAAGTGAAAATAATGTAATTTTTAAATGTTTTTAATAATATAATAAAATTAAATGATAAAAAAGACTAACATTGTAGATGTTCTCATGTAAAATAGGATGTTAGTAACTGCGGCATTTCCTAGGGCAGACGCTCCTCCTGCTGGATTCTAGGAGGCACTCCTGTGGAAATCAAACCTTCTGGCCCTGTTCTGTCCCCTCAGCATACTTCCAGCATTCTCTGTCCAGTGCCTGTCCCCCACTCAGGTGTGCCCACCCTTTGAGTTTTGCACACCTTCTCGGCCACCCTGAGAAGAAGAAGGAGGCCTGCTTTCTGAGTCCACCTCTCTTCTTTGTCTTAAGTCTCTAGCTTTTCCTGTGACAGCTCTGTGTGCAGGGACTGGCCTCTTCTCTATCCCCCTCCCCACTGGCTCTCCTGTTCAACAGCTGTTTGCTGGGGAACTTCCCAGCATTTTTTATTGGCTTAAATGAATTAGATAATGAGTTTTGCTAATTTAGATCCTAACTCTTCCAGCTCTCCTGCTAATTAGTTGTGTGACTGACTGGACAACTTGCTTAACTTACCAGATCCTTTTCCATAGTAGGGGTTTCATCAYAGAGGTTCTGTGAGGGTTAAATTAAATTACTTTGCAAAGGTCTTAGCATAGTGGAAACAACCCAGATGTCTGTCAGCAGATGAGTGGGTAAACAAAATGTGCATGAGTCAGCTTTCTGCTCTTATAACAAATTTTGGCTCACAGGTTTGGAGGTGTCAGTCCATTATTGGTTGATATGGTTGCTTTTGGGCCTATACTGAAGCAGACCATCATGATAGGAAGTGGATGTTGGACCAAAGCCATTCATCTCATGGACAGAAGGCAAAAAACAAAAAAAGAGAAAGAGAAAGGGGCTAGCATCCAACTACCCCTTTAAGGTGTGCTCTGAAGACCAGAAGACCTCTCATTAATCCCCACCTCCTGAAGTTTCTACCACTTCCCCATAGCATGGACCTTTAACATATGGGCCTTTGGGGAACATCCTGGACCCAAACCATAGCCTGTGGCATGTCTATACAATGAAATAGTATTCAGCCTAAAAGAGAATGAAATTGTGATACACATGAAATGTGGATGAACCTTGAAGACATAGTGCTGAGTGAAATAAGCCAAACACAGTGGGACAAATAGTGTGTGGTTCCACTTATAGGAAATACCCAGATTAGATAAATTCGTAGAGACAGGAAGCAGAGTAGAGGCTGCCAGGGAGGGTAAGGGGAGGAAGAGGGAGTCATTGCTTAATGGTTACAGTGTTTTTATGTAGGCTGATGAAATGCTTTTGGAAAAATAGTGGTAATAGTTGAACAACACTGTAACTGTAATTAATCCTCCTGAATTGTGCACTTACCAATTCCAGTGGAAAGTTACATATGTCTTACCAGGGTTAAAAAATAATATGCCAGAAACTGTTGAATTTGTTAATTTTTATTTTTATTTATTTGTGGTTAAGCTAGGGTCTTGTATGTTACCTAGGCTGGTCTCAAACTTGTGACCTCAACTGATCCTCCTGTCCCAGCCTCCTGAGCAGCTGGGTCTACCTTGCCCAGCTGAATTGTATGCCTTAATGGACAAATTCCATGAAATGGGAATTATATTTCAGGAAAGCTTGTGTAAAAAAGGCTTAGCATAGTGCTTTAGCATAGTTGTGGTGGTGAATTGTCAGTGCTTAGTGAACATTTCAGTGTGATTCCATTTTATATTAGAACAGTGTTAATGTCTAAAATGAAAATGCTCATGCAGCTTTGTCTCTAATGGGTTGTTACTGTCCCCCCCCCCCCTCACATTTTACTTCTGTGCCTCAGAGTGATTGATTTAGGAGTCATGACTCCCTGCGATAAGATACTGAAAGCTGCTCTTGACCACAAAGCAGGTAYTGTGCAACTGTCCTTTGGGGATTACTCTCAGTGTCACGTCCCCCAGAGTCTGTATGTCAGTGTAGTAAAGCTCACTCCACGTGGGGGTCTAAGGGACATGCAAACTGTCAAGTCCAGCTTCTGCAAAGGGCTGCTGGGATGCCCATCTGCACTGGGAGTTGATAGAGGTGTGAGAACAACCGGGCAGCTGCGTCTGATTTCTGGAGATGAAATGGAGACCAGCTTCTTAAAAGCGAACACTTGGATTTTATTTTATTTTTTTCTGGATATAGTTGTTTTTATAAAATACTGTGTTGTTTGAGTCTGAAAAATCACAAAGTAAATAAAATCTTCTGTTGTATGGTTTCCTAAAACTGTGGCAAATACTTCAAGTTATAAATCTTATTTGCTACCAAAAGCAGATAATACATTAAAATCCCCCAGACAGAAAAGGTGTCTTAGAATTAGAAACTGGCAGTTCATGTTAGGTCTTGTGGTCTGTATTATAAAGTTTTAAAAATAGGTCTTAATACTTTTCCTTTTTTTCTCTTATCCTCCTCATTGTCCTTTTTTTCCCTTTCTTTTTAAAAATCATAGACATAATTGGCCTGTCAGGACTCATCACTCCTTCCCTAGATGAAATGATTTTTGTTGCCAAGGAAATGGAGAGGTTAGCTATAAAGATTCCATTGTTGATTGGAGGAGCAACCACTTCTAGGTAAGTCTTAATAATGAGCTTTTTATGCCTTGAGTTTTGTTAAATATGTGTTCATAAACAGTGTTAAAACCTGTTTTTTTCCCCCAGAAGCATGTACATTGATTCCTTATTACATAAACTTTCTGGTCTTTACTTTGTTGAGAGCCTGAACAATTTCAGAACACATTATGCATAGGAAACTTTGTGATTTCCTACCCCTTGTTTTTTTGGGGGTTCCTTTGGCTTACAATTATCTTTTCCTTGAAATCAAATTGGATGCCCAAGCTGTGTTTTTTTGGCATAAAGTTGAACTGTTAAAGAGAGACAGTTTTTACAATTATTGAAGAAACTCTAATCTTCTAGTGGTTTAGAGTCAGAAAATCCTTCTAGCTAGAAAGAACCAAAGGGACACTTTGGAGAGTTATCTATGAAAGGAGAACTTTTAGGATAAAAGATGTAAAGAGGAAAAGTTTACATTTGGTTGCATGGTCTTTATTTTTGGGGGGTCTTGATTGTGTGATTTATTCAGAGATGTGTTAATTTTGGATACGAGACTTCTTTGCAACATTCATTATGTTGCACAACTGTTTACATCAAACTGTAGCATTAAACTTGACATATGCACTTTGTTTTTCTGGTACAAAAATACAATTGTGGGCTGTCATAAGTATTCAAGAAATCCTTAGAAAGAGCAAGAAATGTATTTCAAGGAATTGGCACATGTGACTGTGGAAGTTGATAGGTCTGAAGTCTCCAGGCTGAAGACCCAGGCAAGAGTTGATGTTGTAGGTTTGAGTCTGAAGACAGACAAGGCAGAATTTCTTTGTGGAGAAGGGGCAGAAAGTAGAGAGGGTCCTTCGTTCTTTCTATGAAAGCCTTCTACTGAATCAATGAGATCCATGCACGTTATGAATGGTAACTTGCTTAACTTAGGATCTACTGAGTAAAATGTTAATCATATCTAAAAAATACATCCATAGCAACATTTAGACTGTGGTCTGAGTGGAGACTGGATACTATGGCCTTCCAAGTTTACACATAAAATTAACCATCATACCATGTATAATATGAGTGGATCATTTTTATGGGTAGCCACAGTGTCTTTTGTTCAATTAAGGACTCTTTGTTTTTGAAAGGTTCTATAGTTTGACAGTCATTGTTCACATTAGAAAACTGGGTTTGTTTTGCCACAGATGATGTATCTGCTAGACGTAAGTGGCAGAATTATTGTCAAAGAATATGACCAGCCATCACTAACTGGGGTTTTGATGAGCATGATCCTGTGTAATGAATGATAGCTGAGCACAAGAACAGTGAGGGGATCTCTGGACTGTGATGAGGATGGAAGACCTTTAAAAACCATGGTTATAAAATGGGATAAATACTTAAATGGGCAGATGTATTAAAGGACATTGCACTTATATTGATATGACAATGACTTCAAAATTAAAATCTCTTTATAAAAAATTCTTAGAAGCTTAATATCAGGAATTTGCTACTTGTATGGATTAGAACTTGATCAATAGTCTGTTTTATTATGAAAGTCAACAGATTAAAGAAAAAATCTTCAGAACAACAGGACTGGCCTCTTGGGATTCATCATTGATGGCAAAATTAGAATCATCGGTGGCTCTTAACAGTTATATCCTGATGCACAAATGGTGACATGGGAAATCATTCACTATCTATTCTAATTGTCTGCCAATATTTGAAGGTAGAAAGCTGGATATCATGACCTCACAAGGTTTCTTCCAACTTTCCAGTGCCTTGTTTCTCCATGAACACTCTCTTTTCTGGTTTTCTTCTCTTCCATGTTCTTTGCAGTCTCTGGAACTTTATTTGGAAAATAAAAGTCTGGGAAACATTCCTTTTCTCCATTGTGGGCCTGGAGCAACCTTTGAAAAGAAGGTTCTCATGTAGCATCCTTGAGCTTCCATGGAAAATTCCCAGTTCATCTTCCCTTCTGAATAGTGACTGTGGATCAGGTCACAGACCTGGAGTCTGGCTTCACTGATCTCTCCTGTTTGAATAAGCACTTCTACTGAAATGTAACAATCACACAGAATGTATGCAATTCATACAGGTGTGTGACTTGATGAGTGTTTGCAAAAGTGAATCCATCTATGTAACCACCTCCAAATCAAGAAGTAGAATGTCATTGGTACCTAACAGCCTCACTGGGTCACATATCCTGGCATTTTTTGCAACTCTGCTGCTTTGTATCCCTGTAGGTTGGTTTTGCCTGCATTTTGACTTTATATAAAATGGAACAGTACTGTGTATGAAGGCCCAACATTGTTGTTAAAATAATTTTAGAGTTTTTTTTAGTTATATATGGATACAGTATCTTTATTTTGTTCATTTATTTTTATGTGGTGCTGAGGATTGAACCCAGTGCCTCATCTGTGTGAGGCAAGTGCTCTGCCACTGAGCCACAACCCCAACCCAGTTTTAGAGGTTTTTTTGCCCCCATTTCATTGTATAATGTACTATAATTCAGACATCCATGCCTCTGTTAGTAGAAGTTTAGGTTTTTCCAGTTTGGAGTTCTCACAAACAATGCTGCTGTAACATTTTTGCAACTGAGTTTTAGTATATCTTTGTGTGCTTCTGCCCAGAAGAGAAGTACTAGATCCCAGGACAGTGTATAACCATCTTCATTGACTATTTCCAGGCAGTAATTCTTGATATGTTTTTCATTTATATTTCTTTGCTGATTAGTGATGCTAACACACCCTTTCTGTGTATATTGAACATATACTTTTTAAGTTTTTTTTTTTAAGTTGGATATTCTGCCTTATTCATACTGTTTTAGGCTTTAAGCCCTTTATCAGAAAAATAGCAAGTAGATTCTTCCAGTCTTGCTGGCCTTTTGCTGTTTTCGTGGAGTCTTTGGATCATAAAAGTTTTTAATGTTTATGAGATCTGATTTTTCCATTATTTTCATTTACAGTTAATGGCATTTATGTCTGAATAGAACCATTTTCTCTTAGGCTGCTTAGCCTACAGAGCATTCAGGAGCCTGAATGTCTCAGAAGCCTCTCTCAGACCCCTGGTTATTTCTTCCTCAGACCTGTTGAGGGCTTAGCAGGGTCAGTTCTTGCTTTTACTAGCTGCAGTTGTATAGACAATAGCTCAGGACTTGCAGATTTTTTTTAATATTTATTTTTTAGCTGTAACTGGACACAATATCTTTATTGTATTTTATTTTTATGTGGTGCTGAGGATCGAACCCAGGGCCTCGCATGTGCTAGACAAACGATCTACCACTGAGCCACAATCCCAGCCCCAGGGCTTGCAGATTTTTACTAGGATAGATCTCTAAAGAGATATAAGTTCTCAGCTTTTCTAAGCCCCAGTGGCTTATGGTAGCATGAACAGAACTAGAACTAGACACTTGACTGGGGGTTAAGGCTGTCCAGAGGTTGAAACGCGGTTACTGAGTTGGGGTCAAAGATGGGTGGAAATATACTTGGAGTAGTCTTTTTAACCTGTTGCTATAAAAGAATAGAAAAATTATTGCAAATCTAGTCCTCTTACAAAGCAGGACTTCCAAAGGGTATATGTTGTGTCAGTTAGCTTTCACATTTTAACAAAATTTTAGCTAATTACTGCAAAATGTCTTTTTCAATTATTGTTTGTGTAGCTTGGAGAATTCAAGAGGAAATCACATTGCTCCAAGGTAGAGATAATTTTCCAAGTGTGTGTGTGTGTTTAATTGCTAGAAAGTCATGTGCTAAATCACACATAAGTGCTTTTATTTTTCTCTGTGCACTGACCATATAGAAGCTTAGAATTTAGACGTGTATATAGGATTTTATGGAATAGATTTATATGCTAATATCACTCCTGATTCCATCTTAATCTCCTCATCTTTATTTTCTCTTTCTCATTTTTGTCATTGAATTTTAAACATTTGCAAACATGGGAGAAGACATGTTGGATCCTGGGAGTCTTGAATGATTTGGCAGAGACAGAATTTGAGAGTCAACCTTAGCATCTAGTACTGTGCTCTTGGTGTGCAAGAAGGGGCTGGGAGATTCTGGTGTTTTGCATCTTGTCAGGCTTTAGAAGGATGGTTTCTTCTAGGTAGAGAAGCTTATGGAAAAAAAAAAGTGGAATTGATGTCAAATTACTTTATAAGGAAACAGGAAGCACTCTTAGTGGCTAAGCAAGTTCAAATGTCATGCCTTCTATCATATAGCCTTGCCATTTTTATGTTGGAAAGCAGCACTTTGCTTTTATTTATTTTTTAATAGTAGAATTCAGTGTTTCTTTTCAGTCAGAAGCTCATCAAAGAGAGAGTGGGCTCAAATTGACTGAGGACCTTTGAATGCTTAAAACTTAAAGTYGTACTTGTTTTCTCTAAGGGAAAGGCTGCCTGAGTGTTACCAGGCTTAAAGTAACACCTTCTTGCAGGATACGTATGTCAAGCAGAATGTAGAGAAGTATCTCCGTGCATTCAGGGAGCTTGCCAACTGAAGGGGAGGAAGCAAGGTTAGTCTCAGTTGTACTCTGTTTTGAAACTGGGGCAACTTTTTAAAAATAACTTTTTCTACTGTTTGAAAATCCTCCCCTTGGCAGAATACTCAAGGTGTCTTCATAGCTTTGTTGCCTGAGTGCACCCTTAGGCACAAGTCTAAGACACAGGAGGCTGTGGAGTTCATTCCAGGGTCTGGCTGCCTCCGATGCCCTGTGCCCTGCCTCCTAGCACCAAAGCTATGTTGCAACAGCCAGCTTGTGCTGGAAGGGACCCCCATATAGTTCAATTCTTGTGGCCTAAGGCTTTAGTTTTTTGCTTCTCATTTACAAATGGAGATGTTCTTAGAAAGCAAGAACAGGTGTGGGATTGTTGGTCCCATCTCACTGTGCATGGATGCTGAGTGCCTTCCCAGAGAAGCCTATAAAAATATGTATACTTATTACACCTTTAATATAATAATACTCTCCAGGTCTTTAAAAATTACTTCATTAATCCCTTCATGGGAACATGTCATCAATTAAGAGGTTGTGAAGTAAAATCTAGTCTCTTCCTGCCCCTTCATTCCCACCTTTTCCTTGTATGGACATTTGATGTGTGCCCCTTTGTGGTTTTCTCAGTACTCAGAATCTTAGCTATCCGGTTGGTTGGTTGGGGCAGGTTGACTGTGATATGTATGTTTTTTAAAAAATGGAATTGCATAAACTTTGTGTTCTATTAGTTTGTTTCTTTCTCATATAATAGCATATTCTGGACAACATTCCAAACAAAAATGCACTTTAGTTGAGGAAAAGAATGTGAAACCTCCTGACTTGGGTGAGTGTGCTGCTTCAGGGTACCAGGGAAGAGCAGGAAGATCCAGGGTGTGGCTGCCACCATCTGATGGGTTCCAAGCCTCTGCAAATTCTGTAGGGAGGCTAGGGAGGCTACTTGTGTTTCTAATTCTCATATGAATTTAGTGTGTTATAGAATGAAACAACAGATATGCAGCCTGTGCTAAACATCGAGCAATCAGAGGGCAATTTGTTTTGCAAATTTAGTTTAGTTAATTAGGTAATTTTAAGGATTAATTGTTGTTTCCCAGTACCAACATTTTCAAGTTTGACAGCAGGGATTTGAAGCTGAGCCAATCTTAGTAAAAAAWTTGTTTCTTGGACCTTTGTTTATTTTGTGTTGAATTTTGAGACTGGGGTTCCTTACTACAACTACAGGTGGGACTGGGACCACGGGGTATTGATGCTGGCCACACAGAGGTGGCAGCAGCTAGGCAGTGTGTCTTGTGTCCTTTGCCTGGTTCCTGGTTCTGCAGGTACCCTGGCTGGTTGCCTGGCTTGTTTGAAGGAAGGGAGGTAGCTTGACCTTGATGACATTAAAATGCAGTGGCCTGGGACTGCTGCTTCTTGGTTCACACAGGCTGACAAAGAGCCAGGCCAGGGGCTCAGCCCTTGTTGACAGAAGCTGAGGACAAGGTCTTTTTCATTTGGTCACAGACTTCTTTGTAACCTGGGCCTATTCATTCATGTCATTTCTCCTCATCTTAGGATAGGAAAAAGTCATTCTTGTTTCACAAGGAAAATTTGAAATTCAATATTTGTAAGTAAGTACCTTGAAATCTTTCTCTGGAAACACTGTTGAAAGACATTATYTCTAATGGTTCTAAACAGGAGTTGTGTAGGAACTGTCAGTACTGATGGATGTGCTTTTCTTCCTGACCCTTCTTTTCAGAACCCACACAGCAGTTAAAATAGCTCCAAGATACAGCGCGCCTGTGATCCACGTCCTGGATGCATCCAAGAGTGTGGTGGTGGTACGTGTGGGGCCTTCCTTTTCATTTCACATATGTTTCAAAGAGAGGACAAAGGAAGCAGTAAGAGCCAGGGGAGTGCCCAGGACCTTTTATTTTTGCCCAGTTCTGCTAAAGAAACAGTCTAGGGTTTACAGTGTGCCACTAGAGCATCTGCTGCTTTGAAAGGAGGTCCTGGTGAGCATGTCCTGTATTCTCGAAGACAGCTGAGCAGCYGATGAGAGGGCTGGTACCAAGACTCCTGTGACCTAGACAGCTGCAAAAACAGACAGAATTTTCCAGTTTACACACATGAATACACACCTTGACCACTGCCAGAGTTAAGCAGAATATAGGATTTTAAGAATGACCTTTTTTCCAGATAGAAGAACACTCAAGAATGGRTCAGTTGACCTAAGCAAGGACAGAAAAATATTGACTAGGTATTAAAATCACAGAATAATAGATTCTCTTTCTTAGCGAATATAATAAATAGCTTGTGCAGGTGTCTTTCCCTGCTTTTCTCCTTCAGTGAATAAGAGTTCTCATCTTATTACCTGTTTCATTATGTTTGCTGAATAATAGGAAACAATAGTTGGAGGGCATCTGAGACCATGTGGCCAACTAGTTTCCAAGTCCATTCTGAGCCGTAGAACTCTTGCCCATAAATGATGTTTGACCTAGAAACTCAGTGTGGTACAGAAAAGAGCCAAGTAACCCTTCTGACCTTCACCCCACTCCTGTTTCTCATCAAGAGAGCAGGGTTTGACAATTGCCATTGTTGGCCAGTCTTCACACTTGGCAGGGGAGAAATGCCACCAAGGAGGCCTGGTGGTTTTGGGGGACTTCCAGTGGTATCATGCAACCCGGACCAGAGTGCCCATGTTTCCTGAGCCATCTTCTGAAGAAATTCCTTTGAATCTGAAAAAATTCATATCTGTGAATTTTTTTTTACATGGAAATTATACAATAATTGCTATTATTGAAAGTTTGTGGACTACCAGGTGTTGAAGTAACTGTTTCACAGAGGTTATTTAATCTCCAGAGTGGGCTCAGAAGGGAGATACTTTTATTATCCATTTTAGAGAAGAGAAAATGGGAAGGAAGGGATTAGTAATTCTTGAGGCCACATACCCATCAGATGACAGGTGTGGGACTGACTGAATGCAATCCTCCTTATTCTGACCTAAATTAAACCTGTTTCAATTAAATATTCAACAACTTTTTATTTAAAAGGCTGAAATCATAAAATTGCCCTTTTAAAGTTTTTCATTGACATAGAAAAAATGTGTAAATAATCTATAGTTTTACTCAATTTTAAAAACAATGTTTGTGTCTTAATTTCKGATCATGTTTCTTCAGAGCTTATATTAAATCCAGTTTAATGACCAGTGGTCACCTTTTTAAGCTCTGTTGGCTATTTTCAAGTGCTTTGAATGGTGCTGAATATTTTCCATCTGGGGATAAGGCTGTTGGACCTGCTTGAGTGCTCAGTGCTTACCCTACAGGTGGGTGTGTGTTGGGGGATGTTGGTCCTTGAGTCTAGGTCTGGAGGACAGACTCCTTCAAACAAGGCCTTGCTGGGAGCCAGGCAGGGGAGGTAAGGAGCGGGCGGGCCTTGTATTCATGGCAGTGCATCCCCTGGGCTGGGGTTTCCAGCTATGCTTAGCTCTCCTCGTGTACAACGAATTGACCACTCTTCCAGGTGACTCAACACATGTCATATGGTAGGTCATTTGAATAACTGCTAGTGACTCTTTGTAGGAGCCAGTGATAGGTTTTGTTTTGGATGGGTTTTGGCTCAAGTTCTTTTGCTCTAAATGGAATGAACATTGGACAACACCATGCTTTAGTAGCTATCTTGTGTATTTGAAAGATTTAAAGATGCAGCAAATATTATAATCAGGCCTGAGGATTCCCTTTGCTTTCTTTCCTTTCTTTAAGAAGGGTAAAGTAGTTCTTTTAAAATTATATTTTAAAATTTCAACTTATTTTCTTTMATTGTACAAGTATTACCATAAAAAGTAAAAAAAAAAAAATGGAGGTAAATAAAAGTTGTGATATGTCTCAGTGGTTAGCATGAAACATCTGATAGACCTCAGTATTGGTGGAAGGATTGCTAGATTAGCAGCACATTGGCCATGAACTTTTTTCTTCCCTTATGTGCTTCCCCCTTCCCCCATCACCCCTCCCTCGCTCGCTCGCTCACTCACTCCCTCCCTCCCTTCCTTCCTTCCTTCCTTCCTTCCTTCCTTCCTTCCTTTCTTTCAAGTAGGGATTGAATCCAAGGGTACTCTACTACTGAGCTTACATCCCTAACTCTTTTTTGTTTGAGACAGGGTCTTACTAAGTTGCCCAGTCTGGCCTTGAACTTGGGTTCCTCTTGCCCCACATTTCTGAGTCACTAAGATTATTTTAGGGGTGTGCTACTATGCCTGGCTAAGCTTGTTTCTTTAGTCAACAGGTCATACTGGGCAGGAAGGGGCACAGCAAACTGTAATAGTAGGTTCTGGCTACCCACTAGTACCTGTGCTAGAGGATTATAAATACTCTGCATGTTAGGGAAGTCCAGAGATGGGTTTCAGGGTACATGATCTAGCAGAGTGCAGCACTGTTAAGACGTTGGTTCCTTGTATTTGGGGAGCTGAGGTGTGCATCACTCTCTTGTTTTCATTTGCCTCATTGGGTTTCCTAAGTGAGGACTCTGTGGGGGTGAGTTTGTGTAAGGCAGTGGAATACTTCATTTGGGAAACTATTTTTTAGGCCTGCCACAATGATCTTTTCTGATTATATTTCTTAATGAAGTGATTTTTTTTTAACTATCCCATAGGTGATGGGATTGTTAATAGAGATAATTAGGGAATCCCATAGTTATAGACTTTTAAAACTAGGAGGCTCATCAGCCATCATCTAGTCTAAGTTGTTTAATTTTAGATGAAGATGCTGAACTTCCTTGTCTTTTTGTGTGTTAGAAAATCCTGCTAGAGAATGAGGGAGGGATAGTGCTGTGGTTTTCTACTGATATAATCACTAGCAGTTCTTCTTTCTTTGTAATGTTATTTTGAGCTATGGTGAAAGCTAGTCTTCTACCAGCTTGATAGTCATAATCACAATTTTTAGCTTATCTTGGTTTTATAATTTAATGAGTAATTTCACATTTTCTTAGATTATCATTTTTCTTTCATATCTTAGTAAAAGCTCCCAGTTGAGCATGAAGGTTAGCCTCATTTTTTTGTTAAACACATCATAAGGGCATACCTTATATGCTCCAGGTGTAAGTGAGGCATCAGGGGTGCAGAGGTGGTTGACATGCTCTTGGTTCTCAAGGAATCTACTTCTATAAGGGAAGTAGATGTGACCAGATACTAAAAGACTGTGGGTGATCTGGGTGTATTTGAAGCACTGAAGAAGGTACTGAACCCACTGTCTCCCGATCCCTGAGATCACCTTCAAATTCAGTGATTCACCAAAAGGTCTTGGAGGTCTCAGAAACACTGTATACTCATGATCACAGTGGTTGCCATAGAAAGAGATAGCTTAAAATGTGCAAAGGCAGAAAGCATAGAGGGTGTGCTGCAGGTGAAAGGCTCAAGTTTCAGTTTGTCTCCCAGGGAGTCATGCAGACAGCACTTAACTCTTCCACTAGTGATGTGGAAGAATGCTTTCAAGGAGCATTGCCAACGAGGATGCTTACTCAGACCTTGCTGACTTGTCACATAAGCCTGGGATGCCCACGTGTCTGGTCTTAGCAGCTTAGTCTTCAACCCTTCCAAGGTCAAACAGATACAGCCTGAACCACAACCCTTACCATAAATGATATTGTTGGTATCAACTCTGGCAAGGCCCAAAGCCCAGGTATACAATGACACTCTTATCAGGCAGGATATCCCAAGGGCTTAGAGCTTATCTCCAGGGAAGGAGTCCAAGATTAGGACTTTCTTTGACATGTACAGGATTTTGTACCCAAAGCTCACTGAGTTCACCTGGTACTGCACACCTGGGCAGGAGTGAGCACAGTTGGCCAAGTGAGAGAGAACATTGTTAGGGGAGCCTTTCTTAGGGAGGTGTCTCCAGAGTTTTTATTGTTTGCTTTTCTCTGGTTACTGACTTTATTTTGCATTTCAGTGTTCTCAACTATTAGACGAAAATCTAAAAGATGAATTCTTTGAAGAAATCATGGAAGAATATGAAGATATTAGACAGGACCATTATGAGAATCTCAAGGTAAATGACAGAAACAGGATTTTATTTGTTTGGGCAATAAGGTGATCCTGTGGTTTTGTGACTTTATTTACTATTTTAAGGAAGGCAAAGACTTAGTAAGGGTCCTTTCAGAGAAGTCCTACTTTGTAATTCAAATCAGAGTACTCTGTTGTCTTAAGTTCCCAAGCACTTTTGGTTATATTAAAATGAACCTTAATCTATTGAGGCAAACATGTGCTGGGTCCCCCACAGGTGGTCGGTGCTGTGCTAGATGCCAGAGTTATGAGAATGAATTAATATGAGCTCATACCTGCCGGCAAATAGGAGCTGCACATTACCCATAGAGCTCTGCTGTTGAGGGAATAGTGAAGGAATATGGAGGCGTTAGCCAGGACCTTCCTGAGCCTCTTTCCCTGATGAACTCACCTGACTGTGCAGAACTGTGTCAATAACTGTCCTGCCCTCTGTCAGCTTCAGGGAATCTATAATTACTCTTTTGACGTCTTTGGGGTATTTCCTCCTGGTTATTTGCTTCTGGGATTTTGGTTGGGGGAGTGGCATTTGGGAGTTTTAACAGACTACATGAAGAAAGGACGTAGATTGGTTTCTGAGTTGCCAGCAAGCCTGGCTCACTGTGAGTGGCTTTTTCTTTCCCCTTAGGTTTGTCCACAGTGACAGTTCCTTGGTTTTACCTTCTGGTTCCCTGGGTGGTTGATGATAGGCCTCAGGTGTTCTGAAGGCACTGGCATGCTAGACTGTTGGGGCTGCAGGGTAGCCTTATAATTACATATCCACAGCTAATAGAAAGTTATTAGTCTTTCCTGCTCCTGTTCCAGTGTCTGAAGCCATGTTGGATGGAAGAGGAGGACCTTTTCAGGATAAGGATTTTCACTAAATGGCATTTATTTTCTTGCAAAGATTTTGTACTGACTTTCTTGGTCATGTGTTTATAGTAGATGTGGAAGAAGTAAGAGTCTCAGCCTAAATAACTTTTTTTCCCCCCAACAGGAGAGGAAATACCTACCCTTAAATCAAGCCAGAAAAAATGGTTTCCATATTGACTGGTTGACAGAACCTCACCCAGGTCTGTGTGGAGATAGCTGAGTGTAATAACTGACAATATGCTGAGGAGATATTTGTAATTTTGTGGCTATAGAATGAAACCAGCAGCTAGTGACTCTCAGTTGTGCATAATAACAAGTGGCCCTGATGACTGACAAGAAAGTAAACAGGCAGCATTTAAGGAAAACCTGTCATCTGTTAGACACTGTCCTGAGGTGAAGTTCAGACAGCTCTGTAGTGAGCATGGGTGTGGGCTCCATTTTGACAGAAGAAACTGAGTTTCAGGGAATAATTGAAAGGTTCCTAGAATTCCAGTTTGGATTTGTCTCTTAAGTGTTCAGGGAGCTGCAGGACTGTGCCTTCTCTGAGCTGTGCTTGAGTGGTCCTCCCTCAGCCTGACCTGTGTGTGTCTTGAGCAGGCCCAAGGGCAGGCGGGGAAGGTCTGAAATAGAAAACTCCTTTATACTCTCAGGTCTTGAAACAGTGAAGCAAAGCTTCCGYCCCTATTTCTTACTCACCTTGTATTTATCTGGATGCTTCCCTTTCTTTCTGTTTCATTTGGTTTCTTCCCTTTTATTTTTTTTTCTAGCTACCTTCTTGCTCACATAGGTGATCCCAAGGGAATAGAACGTGTGAGGTGTTTGACAGGCTCAGAGAGGCTTGAGCTACAATTGCAAACCCAGGCAGGGTGAGCAGGGGTTGGGTTAGTTGAAGTCATAGTTCCAAGTAGTATCTCAGATCAGCTTTCAGTGCTCACGACATCTGTGTTCTACACATGCCTAGCAGAGTTGAGAGGATTAAATTGGAAATGTAGGTGTGCTTGATTCTAATTTCATTCCCGCTGAGTGTAGTTTGGTGGAAAGAATGCCAGATTGGGAGGATGGGGGTTCTCAATGCCAGCTCGCTCCTGGCTGTTTCTCTGAGTGACCTTGAGTGTCTGTCTTCCATATCTGACAGTTTCCAGGGTGTAGAAAGGAAGTCCTGTGAGGCTAATGTGAGACATGTAAGAACCTTGGAGCAAACAGATCCATCACTGTATAGTCCCTGCTGTGACATTTTGCCTTTTGTTTCACTGCTAAGTGGGGCTAATAGCCCTAGGGCAGGTCTGTCTTGACCAAGTCAAGCATCCAAAACATGCTTTGATAGAAATAGTCCTGAGAGGTCCCACTGTTCCTGACAGCAGTAGGGACACTCTCCAAGTGGCCATTTTACAAGGCTCTGACCTGCTGTCCAAGATGTGGGGCCCTAAGATATGGACCTCAGAAATGTTGTAAGGACAGCGTAGCGTTTCAGGAGCTGCAGGAAGAAAGGAAGGTTTCCTCTCAAGGACCTGGGTGGTAGTGTTTGGGGCAACTCTTGATCTCTGGGTGACTAGGTTGATAGAGAATAAGCCTGTCCTCTGACTCTGCAGCAGAAGTTCTTCCCTGCCTCCCTGGAAATAGGCCACTATAATCAGGAGAATGGGGGTAGTAGTCATGCAACCCCTAAGGGGACTATATGACTTGTTACCAAACAAACTGACATAATGGGTGTTTATAAGAAGAGATTGTCCTGTATAAGTAGGACACAGTGCCCTGTGTCCCTTCCTCCCCTGTGGAAATAACCACAATGCTGAATTTGGGATTTCATCTCTGTGCATGTCCTTATACTTTGTGCATATGTATTAGCAGGAAATACCGACTTGTTTCATTGTTGCAGACTTTATATACAAGTAGCTTACTGTCTTTGTTTTTCTGTGATCTTTGTTTATTATTTACTTTATGGACCTGGGAATGAAACCTAGGGCCTTGCACATACTAGATAGACAAGCCCTCTACCAGTGGGCTGTACCCCACCCCTAGTGGTCTTTATTTTGTATTGTTTTCATTTATATAAGGGGAAATTGACCCAAATCCTCCTTTCTCCTGGGGTGGGAATGGAGGGCTGAGGGCAGTGTTTCCAGGGTTGTGTAATCAGTCAGCTGCACGGGAAGAATGGTTTTATTTAAGGTTCAGTGCAGAATGACTCCTTCCCCAGGGTAATTTAAAGTTCCCCTCTGTGTACGACAACTCCTACGGGGGTGACAGGCAGGAGGCAGAGCTTGGGAGCCCGAAGAGTGAGGCTCAGGGAAACAGGTCTCTCAGGCTATGCACCCACGCAAGGGGCTCAGCCTGCGCCAGAGTTGCCCGCTGTGCTTCCCTCCTGTAGTGAAGCCCATGTTTATCGGGACCCGGGTCTTTGAAGACTATGACCTGCAGAAGCTGGTGGACTACATTGACTGGAAGCCTTTCTTTGATGTCTGGCAGCTCCGTGGCAAGTACCCGAATCGAGGCTTTCCCAAGATATTTAACGACAAAACAGTAGGTTAGTTCAGTAGGTCCTGTGTTACTGCCTGATATTTAAAATGTAATATTATGACTTTGAAAGCAGGAGTATTTGATAAGCCATGTATTTGAATTATGCAGAGTGTAGCTGCTTTCATTTTGTTAACCTGCTTAACTTTCAGATGGTTTTTAAATTGCGTGGTCAGTCCTATTACAGAGACTAAATTTGGTGTTTCATTTATTCACTCTTTCAATAAATGTTTATTGACATCTTTTACTTGCTGGGCACTAGAGATAAACAGAAGGAGACAATGTAATCCTGCCATCCAGTATCTGACTCACTGGGACAGTTGAGAGTACTGGAAATGCTATACTCCTCCTGCGGATCCTGCAGACCCAGGAAGAGCTAGAGCTCAGATGGGGAGCTCAGACCAGGCTTCCTGGATGAGGCAGTATTCGAACTGCTTTTTAGAAGTGGGATTTATTGAGGCTKGGCTTGGGGATGTGAGGTGGCACTGAAGTAAAGGGCATTCCAGGCAGAGGAGGCAGATCTGAGAAGGTTCAGATAGGTGTCCTATGTGGGGAACTGCCAGGAGCCCACTGTGCCCAGAGCATTAGGGAGGGAGCAGAGAGGGATTGGGGGTGATAAACTAGAGAATGGGTGAGTTGATAAATTCAGCCCCAGTTCTCACAACTAGCCTCACCCCCAAACCTACCCTTGACACAAGGGCTCACAGTGCAGAGCCAATCAAAGTCAGGAAATGGCCAGATCAGAGTGAGATGGAGGGTGGACTCAGAAATATGAGGTGAGTTTTGGGAAGAGCCGAGAAGCCAGCCTTTGCCAGTTTGTTGGAGAGGTCCTGGGCACATGTGTTAAGATGCTGAGACTCAGCAGCTCCCAGGTAGCCAGGAGCGTGGTGGTCAGCAGGGGCTTCTCACTGCGCTGCCCCTCAGCTTCACAGGCAAGCAGTTATGGGGCTTTAGGACTGGCCCAGCATGGGCCTGGGACCTCAGTGTTACAGATGCAGAAACCAAGGGAGGGTGTTCTGGGGCCTGGCTCCCCTGTGCAGGCATAGCACTGAGGCCACATAGGAGCATTTGGAGCCATTCCTTTCTCCTTACCCTGTCCCATGCCTTAAGATCACTGTGGAACCAGGGGAGTCATGGATGCACAGAAATATCAGGGAGCCTGGGATTTGGCCTGCTTTTCTTGCCCTCTSATAGACTGCTTTGGGCTGCCATAGCTTTGGCTCTCAGCTTTTTGTGAAATGGAAAAATGCAAGTGTCTTGAGCTGGGGGAGGCAGACTGGGAGCTGTGTTCACAGGAACCATCAGCCTCAGCTGCTTCCTTTCAGCTGTGCTGGTGGCCAACACCAGAAGGCTTTCAGRGGAGTGGGGAGGGGTGAAGGGGAAACCGGCCCAGGGGTGGTGGTTTTTAAAACAAGCATTCCTTACTGGTTACTGTTGGCATCTTGAAGTGAATTCTTTCTGTATTTTCCTAATAGGTGAAGAGGCCAGAAAGGTGTATGATGATGCCCAGAGTATGCTGAGCGCACTGATTGGTCAAAGGAAGCTCCAGGCCAGGGGTGTGGTTGGGTTCTGGCCAGCGCAGAGTGTCCAGGACGACATCCACCTGTATGCAGAGGGTGTGGTGCCTCAGGCTGCGGAGCCCATAGCCACCTTTCATGGGTTGAGGCAGCAGGTACGAAGGGCATAGGGACAGTGAACACACTGCTTTTACTTTTGGGTTCAGTCACTAAACTACAACATTAATGTGAATTAAGTCCGAGCTTTGTGTAAATGATAGCATCTGCTCCCCCTCATCYTCCATGGGCCCAGGCCCACAGCACTTGTGAGGATGGCAGGAGAAGGCGCAGCACGGGTAGACCTRGCAAGGCCTCTTGGGCACCAGCAGGAGCGTGTGCAGGTGGACAGGAAGCACGGCTTCCTGAGCCACAACCCCAGCCCCTGCTGAGGGGTTTTAACACCATCTTGCCTGCAGCACTGGCTGATTTTCTGCCCAGTGTCAGGCTGTATTTGCTTTTATGGCTGGCAGAAGGCTTGTGAAGCTTCTGAGTGGCTACTCATGGATTAATTGATAGTCAAAAGCAATACCACGTGTACAGGAGCATCTGTKGTTGGTACCAATGGAGCGTTGGTACCCGGCCCCTGGCCCTGCCTCTTCTGAGCCTGGGCTGGTTGACCAAGTTCTCTGAGCCTCAGATGTCTTACCTGTGAAGTAGAGCCAGTCTTCAGGTGAGAGTAGAAAATGGGCAAGGATAGGCACCTGGGCTATGAGGAGAGTCACAAGCAAACCCAACTTAGCTCTTTGGTTTCAGACTGTCCTGGGGTGTCCCAGCTGTCTCCTGTACTGTCCTCTGTGGCAGACAGCACATGGCCAATATCATGTTGACCCTAACAGTTTGTTGAACCCCATCTTATGATGTTTGTGGAGCTTATACATCTAKTGGTCCCCATGCAAACATAGCACCAGTACTTAATGTTGATCTGGATTAAAAATACATTGAGGACAAGCTGGGTGCAGTGGCATGTGCCCATAATCTCCATTATTCAGGGAGCTGAGGTAGGAAGATTGGAAGTTTGAGGCTAGCCTYGGCAATTTGGTAAGACCCTGCATTAACATAAATAGGGTTGGGGATGTAGCTCAGTGGTAGAGGGCCCCTGGGTTCAATCCCCAGTCCAGTCTAGCAATAAAACAAAACAAAAAGGGGGGGGCAGGGAAGAAAACTTTGGGGGGGGGGGGGGGGGAGACTTTTTTTTTTTTTTTTTTTTGTATACTTGTTTAAGGTTCTGGTTCCTAGCACAGTGCAGGCAGTGTGTGAGTGAACAAATAAGTGGGTTTTTAAAATCTTATTTTACTTGTGTCCAATTTCATTTTCTGTTTCTAGACAAAATACATGAGACTGATAATTTATTAAGAAAAAAATTATTTCTGTTTATATTTTGGAGGCTGGGAAGTTCAAGCTATGTAGCCACTTCTGGTAAAGGTCATGTACTGCTTCATAACGTGGCAGAAATTAGGAGAGGGCACACACACAAAAAAAAAAAAGAAAAGGAAAGAAAAGACGGTTGAACTCCAGTCATAGTTTACCATTCCTGCAAGAAACACAGTAGTACATTTATAAGAATTCAGAAACCTCCCACCAGGCCCCACCTCCCTACATTGCCACTTTAAGGAATTACACACACGAACCACAGCARTTTGTTTATTCAACAAATATTCATTGAATACTCACTATGTCAGGCACTGTTCTAAGTGCTACAGGTTTAATAGTTAGCAAAATAGGTAACATCCCTTTTCCACGAAGCTTGAATTATTTGAAGATCCCCAGTTGCTTTCCTCTGTGCCAGTCCTGGTAGCCAGATTCATGCTAATAGCCTCTGTGCCTGCTGCTTGGGTTTTAAGGCTGAGAAGGACTCTGCCAGCACAGACTCATACCAGTGCCTCTCGGACTTCATTGCTCCTCTGCATTCTGGGATCCGGGACTACTTGGGCCTGTTTGCTGTTGCATGTTTTGGGGTGGAAGAGCTGAGCAAGGCCTATGAGGACCAGGGCGATGACTACAGCAGCATCATGGTCAAGGCGCTGGGGGATCGGCTGGCAGAGGTAAGTCAGTGGTGGTGTACTGGGCACTGAAGTGGAGTCCAGCTGGGTGAGATAACCACAACAGTATCAGAAAGATACCACTATTAAAACCAGTCTTTTTTTCCTTGATTCATATGCTGTGCTGGCTTTAACATTACCCATGTTTTAGAAATCACAAATCTCTAAGTAGTTTTCATGTATCATCCTTCAGGCAAAGGAAAACCTTCAGTGGTGCTATAGTTAGCCATTGCCTTAGAACCTTGACCTCTTGCCTTATGTCTGATGCCTCCTTTGCTTGCTGTGGTGTAATGTTTTTCTGAGAACCACCCCCAGAATTAAAAACCAGGTTGGGTGTGGTGGCGCACACCTGTAATCCCAGTGGCTGAGGAGGCTGAGGCAGGAGGATTGCATGTGCAAAGCCAGCCTCAGCAACAATGAGGCGCTAAGCAACTCAGTGAGACCCTGTCTCTAAATAAAATACAAAATAGGGCTGGGGATGGGGCACTGTGGTTGAGTGCCTCTGAGTTTGATCCCTGATACCCCCCCGCCACTGCAAAACAAAACATGTTTGTTTTAGAACCCCTCATTCTGATGTTCGTATCTTCTATAGATTCTTCATCTTGCTATATGGAATAGGGCAGCCAAGGCTGTGGGGAAAGCCTGTCCCCTTTCCCTGTGGTGAGCCATGGAGGAACGCAGCTGTGTGGTCTCTGCTGCTCTTTCTGGGAGTGGTGCTGTAGACTGACTTTCAGAGAACATTAATATTAAAAATCTTGGAATTCTCAGATCATTAAACATGACACTCAGAGTCCAGGTTCAGGTTGCTGTAGAGCAGCAGAGTGGCTAATGAAAGGATAAACTCTCAAGAACGCAGCCTGTCCCCTCTTGCAACTTCACCCTGGTTGTGGGCCTGCCGAGGGAAGCTGTTCCGTGTGACTTTGACCGGGAGGGAGGCTGCTGGCATGCCACACGCTCCTGCTGCTGCCTGACCCTCTGCTCTGGTTCCCAGGCCTTTGCAGAGGAGCTGCATGAGAGGGTTCGCAGAGAATTCTGGGCCTACTGCAGCAGTGAGCAGCTGAGCGTCCCGGACCTGCGCAAGCTCCGGTATGAGGGGATCCGGCCAGCTCCCGGCTACCCCAGCCAGCCTGACCACACTGAGAAGCTCACCATGTGGAGACTGGCTGACATCGAGCAGTGCACAGGTGTGTGTGGAAGGGTGAGCGCCTGTCTTTCCTCACTCAGTTACGCTTTTTACCAGGGTAATGGCACCTATGGTTAGAGATTTTTTAAAAATAGAAGAGTTACAATGAAATCAACTCTTATCCCTCCCTTTCTCACTTTTAGCTATATGCATTGTATTTTACTTTCATACTACTATATTGTCTTTTTATATCACCTTTATAGATTGATCAATTTAAATTATTTTCTCTTGACCTATCATGGATGAGATATCTTCTCCCACTCCTTGCCGGCCCATTGCCCTCTTGCCCCAGTTCTCTCTTCCTGGTGTGATAGTGTCTTTCATCCCTCCTTAGCAACCCACAGATGATGTCCTATTGGTGGTATTATCTGCTTCAGGCCCATGTTGTTTGCTGGTGGTATCTCTGGACACCAGCCTTTCAGAGTTCCCAGCTCCCTCCTCTTTCCTATCATGCTGGTATGAACATTTATGCTCTTCTGTATTCATAATTTACTCATGTTTTATCTGTGTTTTGATTCTCATAGTTAAAATGGAAAGTTGGCACATGTACTCTTGAGATAGAGCCCTGGGCGCCCAGTGTCAGCATTCCTGGCCCAGGGCAGAATCTGCCATGGTTCCGTGGCTGTGCATTGTCCCATCCTTATGCAGGTTCTAGCCCTTACCACAGATCACATGTTGACAAGACTGAGGCCGAGTTTACAGTTTTCAGTGGGAATAATGAAAGGCATGCTGTCAAGCTGGCAGAGCTAAAGGAATCCAGGTTGAAGTGAGAAACTGCACAATGCAAGCAGTCCTGGGATCTGGATTTGGGTCCTGTTTTCCACAAGCCAGCTGGGGATCTGTGGCAAGGCACTTGACCTTTGAGTTGTTCTCTTTCCATGTCCATAACATGAGTAGCTTAGAATAGATAGCCTTGGGGGTCCTTTTGGGTTCCCAGACCCCAGGAGAAAGTATCGCTTCTTTCTTGTGCTATTGTGAGCTCATTCCTCACTGGCACCAGCTATCAGTCATTGCTCTTGTTGCTGGCCCCTGGAGCTATGTGGAGCTGTCAGATGGTTCTGTCTTCCCCAGGCTTAGCAGCAGGTTGYGGCCTCTGCACTGATCTTTGGTAACAGGGGAAGAATACAGAGAATCTCTTCCCAGTCTCTAGCATGTTCTGACTTTGTTTTTCTGTCCAGTAGGAATTTGCTAGACCCTTCTGGTCACAGCTTTCTTGCTGGGCCATGTGTCTACCTAGAAGGTATAAAATTTACTTTGATTTATGTGTTCAGCGAGTCTACTGAGTGCCCCGCACGAGGCCCCCAGTGAATGAGCGTTTTCTGCATTGCCCTCTCTAGGCATCAGGTTGACAGAGTCTTTGGCAATGGCACCCGCCTCTGCAGTGTCGGGCCTCTATTTCTCCAATCTGCAGTCCAAATATTTTGCTGTGGGGAAAATTTCCAAGGATCAGGTAAGTGTGTGGTTTCCTTGGATGCCTGTTGTGTTTTAAATGGAACTCTAGAATCGATTTTATTTTACCTGTGAATGAGAATAAAGGAAGGGAAGGGAATGATGATATTTTCCCCATTAATGTCTGAATTTGATCTTAGCCAATTACCTTATTCCAGCCCTCCCTCTACCAGGAGCATACATAGCCTGCTTCCATACAGTGGGTATTTATTAAGTACTGTTTTCTGCCCAGAGATGAAGGCAGCTAGGTAGACAGATAAATATCTATCTGCATTTAACTCAGTAGATTGCTACTAAGATAAGAAATGGAAGGTACTTAATGTTTCTTGACAAAACCTGAGGAAACTTTAGTTCAGAAAGTCTTAGCACTTGGATTTACTTGGGTGCTTCTTTTTTTTGCAGGTTGAAGATTATGCTCTGAGGAAGAACATGACTGTGGCTGACGTGGAGAAATGGCTTGGACCCATCTTGGGATATGATACAGACTAACTTTTCCTCCTGCCCGCCCTCCTCCTCTTAACCTTCTGTGTGCTTGCTCACCTCAAAGAGAGATAATCCAAAGTGCCTTAAAAACAACAACAAAGGCCTGAGTGCATCTGGTCAGCACAGCCCTGCTTCTAGCTTTGGAAACTATCCTGGAGATGCTATGGAGGAACGGGGCTTCTGGGGATTTCTGGAAGACATCGCTGTTTTTAGGTACCTTGAATGAGTAGCAGTGAGGTTTCGTGGCTCTCATGGTGTCCCTGGTACCTGGGGACTGGACAARCTGGAAACAGGTCTTTTGCATTTCAAAGCAAGTCAGCCTGCTTCTTCTCCATTTTACCTTGGATCTAGGAGGGAACTCACTCCTCCTAGAAAATAAGCCTGCAACCTGGTTGGAATAGAGAAATGTAACCCTGGGGCAGAGTGCCACTGTGAGAAATGGGGTGTTTAATCTAAATGGTCCCAACAGCAGACTCTGACAGGAAAGAGAGTATCTCTGCTCTCTTGGAAAGACTTCATTTTCTAAGGCTCAGCTAAATGGCTGCAGAACTCCTTTTGGCTAAGGCATCTCACTGCTTGCATGTCAGAAGTATTGAGCTGTTTGCCCTGGTGTGCTGAGTGCAGTCACGCTCTCCAAGCTTTTTTTGTGTGTGTGCTCCCACAATTTCCTAATCCCTTCCCTGAGGGGGGATAAAAGGAAGTGGAGAAGGAGTGGCAGTTAAGGGTGGTTCATGTCTTTTAATTGTCTTCAGAATTGAGCAGATTCTTAGCTCAGCTGCAGTGACCTTTGCAGAGTTGGACTGTGGACAGTCTGATGTCATTCAATTCTTCTTTTTCTATACTGATCTAACTCGAAACTCATATAGTTTAGAAATAGCATATTGACTTGTTCTKGGCCATTTTAGGGGAAATGGTAAGCGCATGGACTTCGAAGTCAGATATACGTGGACTCAAATTTCAGCTTTGGCTACTTAATTGCTGTGTGATATAAGTAAATTACTTAGACTTTCCAATATGCTTTCTCATCTGTAAAGTGAGAATAAAGAGTGGTTTTTGTCTCATTGACATGAGATGCAGACTAAAGGACATGATGCATGTGGGACAATTCACATGGCATCTGACACACAGCAAGTTCTTAATAAATGGTAGCTTCTGTGGAGTTCTGTAGGTAGCCCCCAGACTCCTCATGTAGCAGGTGCTCCTGAAAAGAGAACAAGAGGTTAACAGAGGGCAAAAGAATGGGGAAATTTTGCATCGTCATGACGGGACTGAACCTGCTGGATCAGGGGTTCAGACCTCATTTGACTGGGAAAGAGAATCTGCCTCCTATGTTATGTGCTTCATTGGGACTCACTCACTGTGAGCCAAACATCCTCACTTATCTCACTGCATATCAGCTGGCCATGCCCCTAAAGCAGTGGTATGTTGAGGTTTGTTGGAGGTGAAAGGGGGAAAATAAAAAGACTTGGGAAATAATTCTGCGTAGCAGCCATAGCATGTATGTGTTTATTGGAGAGCAGCATACATTTCCAGTATCGMGTACCCCTAAAGTGAAGGTGATTGTGTACTTTCTTTAGGTACACTTAACTTGTTTCAGATTGAGAATAGCACTTGGTGTCCTGAGCCACTTAGTTGGAGAACTTACTTCCTGTTCCATAGCAGGTATATTATTTAGGCTTTGGGACATTCTTCTTCGGGAAAAAGAAACCTCCTTCAAATATGTTAATATATTTTATTTGAATAGTTACTAAGAGTGTCCTGATTGTTAAGTACTTGCCATATCTTCTCTCAGCTGGTTTGAGATAGAGTGGCTTTCTTGAATGTGATGTCAGGCTAATCCCATGAAAGATCTGTTTCTAAAGACAAAAATTTTGTAAGTTCAAGTACCTGTGTGATCATTAAGAATAAAATACAACCTAAAGGCACCCTCCTGGGTTTATCTCAGGTGCCAGARAAGCAGGACTTCAAAGGCAGGGAGTTTAGTGACATTCTAGACTCAGGTCTTCCCTGTGTGGCTGACTCAATCCACAACCTCTTCCATTGTCAGCATCTGGGACTGACGTGAACTGCGCGCTTAGCACCTCCGCATTCACTAAGGCTCCATGTAAACTTTTCCCTCTAAAGAATTGTCCCCATTTTGCTGCTGGTTCTGCTGTTACTGAGGAGGCTGGTGGTTGAGCTCAGGTCTTAAATACTATTTSTCCTTTGAGCCATTCTGCTAGCCGCCACCCTTCGTACAGTGAACTCATGGAGAACAGTCAGGCATGCCGTCAGCAGACGTAGGGTACCTCGCCCCTGCCAGCCATCTTCTCCTCACGTTCTCTGTAATGCATACACATACACAAACCCCTGCCCTGTGCTTTCTCATTACTCCTGCCACTAGGGACCTCGTGATTATTAGTCCCAGGGTCCTTTGCAAYAGGTTTTCTTTTCTTTGGTTTTAGACAGTATTGACCAGTTTTTCAAAAATTTCTCTACACTGGTTCCCCCTTGACATTCCTTCTCTGGTTAACCTTCTATATTTATGATAATGTATCAACCCTTTTCATAACTCTCTCTGCCCACTGAAACTCTCATGTCCCCAGCAGTTGGTCAGCAGTGGCCTCTCAGGCAGTGCTGTCTGAGAGGGGAGGCTGTCCAGTYGATAGCTGCACTTCTCTCCATCTAGACTTCCCTCTGCTGATGGACATGGTGATGCTCAGCTGCTTCCCGAGGACATACTTGGGTCTCACCCTGTGTCCCAAACCCTGTCTTTGATGCCTCATTTTAACCCCAGCACATTCACTGACAGGGAGAGATGCTTCTGCCCAAGCCACAAGTCTCAGGCTTACCCATAATCTTTTTTTAGAACTTTGCACTTAAAKATGCACTTATCCTACTTGAGATGGATGGTGGTAGATTTATTCAGGAACACAGTGATTGAATCCTGGTTTAACATTTGAAGAATAAAGAGTTGGGCACAGTGGTGCACTCCTGTAATCCCAGCAGCTCAGGAGGCTAAGGTAGGAGGATCACAAGTTCAAAGCTAGTAAGACCCTGTCTTAATAAAAAGAGACTAGGGATAATGTGGCTCAGTGGTTAAGTACTCCTGAGTCCAATCCCTGGTACAATAAATAGATAATAAATARATAAAACAAACAATTTAAAGGCTAAAGAAGCATCAAAAGAACAAATGAGGGCTGGGGTTGTAGCTCAATGGTGGAGCAATTRTCTTGCATCTGTGAGGCACTGGGTTTGAGCCTTAGCACCACATTAAAATAAATAAAGATACTGTGTCCACGTATAACTAAAAAATATTTTAAAAAGAACAAATGAAGAACTGTTTGTTCACAGAGAATGGGACAATTAAAGACTATAAAGATACTAGAGCTTCCCAAATTGAGCTATAGATTCAATACTGTTTCCAACAGAAATTCAAACAAAGGTTATGTTAAACATAAGCAAATATTTAAACTTATGTAGAATAGCAAAGGGGTAAGAGGACCAGATGCTTCTGAAGATGAAGAGGGTTAGGGGATTTGTTTTACAGTACATCAAGTTTTATCATAGAATGTCATGTGGTGCAGAGGTGACTTTCTGAGCAGTGGAATGAGAGCCTAGAAACCAGTCCATGGATATGTTGTGTTGGCCTTGGTGGCCCAGTAGGAATGGTGTGGCCAACGAATAAGGATAGGAGGGCCAACTCGAGAAGTACAATGCTAGAGTATGGCTGTGCATCTGGGAAAGAAGGAGAGTTAGTGCTGCTTCCCCTCTTGCCCAACAGCCGATTCCAGAAGTGCAAAGTGCAGACAGCAGCAGTTTTAAACTTCACATGAAAACCTCCATAAAGCAGGAACGACAGGCACTAACCCTAAAAGATGATTAAATCAGTTCAACCAAACCAAGGGCTATATTAAGCAAATAATTTAAAGTGAAGAAACAAACCAGAATGTATTCACAATACAAAAAACTGACAAAAGATWAGTTATATAGTTTATATTTTGAAAAAATAGAAGAAACTTAAAAAGGCATTTCTCATGGGGCTTATAAATGAATAGGAAGATGTCCCTAGCATTACTGATTCGGCAAGTATAAATTAAGACCACAGTCTTAATTCCATTGTATATCCTTAAGATTTGCAAAAATCGGGCCTGATCATAGGAGGGGTTAGAGAAGATCTGTGAAACGCACACGTTATGCAAGTCACCATTCCTGTAGAAAACAGTTACACTTGCTGACATGAATGTTTGCAGATCTTGTGATCTAGCTTTCATCTTGCAGTCATCTTCAACAATGTCTTGCCCTTTAGTATATGCAGAAATGTGCAAGAATGTTCATAGTAACGTGTAATAGTTTGTAACTAGAAAAAGTGAAACATCTGTCTGTAGAGGATAGATTCATAAATTATATATATATTTACTCTAAGTGATACTATCTGTAATGAAAGTGAATGATCTGTAGTTATACCTGGCAATAAGAATGAATCTCAAAATGTTAATGGAAAAAACAATTTCCATGACACTACTTGTAGTAAGATACTATTATTATTGAGCTCAAAAATAAGCAAAACCAAAGAATATATTGTCTGAGCATGCATACAAAAACTGTACTGTTAAAAAAGTTAATAGTGATAAACCAAAATTTAGCTCAGCAGGATCAATAAATGGGGACTGTCTGTCTTCCATGATGCAAATCCATCGAGTGACCTGCCAGGTATGGCAGCAGCTGAGCAAGGAAATTTTGAATTTCTGCAGTTCATTTGTTCTTTTACCCAGAGAGCAACTCAGTAAAGAAAAGCAACATTGCATTTCAGATAGAAACACTGGCAGATTAAGGTCAAATGAATAACATTCTAGTCCTTGGGTGGGAGGGCCTGGGTGTGTGCTACATACAGTTTCCCTTTATAACTGTCAGTTCTGTACATCTGAAATATGCTATATTGAATACATGTAGTACATATATTGTAAAAAATAAAAGCAAAGTGAAACAAGATCCCCAAGTCTGGTGTGTTTGTATGTCAGATATGTTTTTTGAAGAAAAGAAAAGTATTTTAGCCAGAATGGACAGTAATTGGATCAGAGAGGGGTGCATTTGTGCACCTGCCAATAGCTCCCAGAAATCAGGTTTTGGTGAAAAGGAGAAGAGGCAGTCAGGTTTGGAACCTTATCCATGTTTTTGTTTATAGAGTCTTAAAATAGTGCTGGTTCAGGTGCACAAGGAAGGTTGGCAGATTCTCTAATTTTATTTACGTTTGCCAATCTTCACATGTAATTTTAAAGATTTTCCTCAACTTTAACCTTTAAGTGTTAATGCAGTAGCCTCCTTATCCTTGAGGGACACACTCCAGGACTCCATGAATGCCTGACACCACGATAGTACTAGATCTTTTTTTTTTTTCTTTGAGTGCATTACAGTTGTAATATTGATGGGATATATGTAATTTGGCCAATATCACTCCCATTGCTTTCCTCCCTCCCCCTCCCACCTCTTGGTCCTTTTCTTCTACTGATTTCCCTTTGATTTTTTAGGAGATATACTCCCACCAAATCTTAATACACTGGTTTTTTTTTTTTTCCTGTACATACATCTATGAATGCAGTGCTTTCCTATCTTAGCCAGGCTCTTACACTGTGACAGTATCTTTTGCCATTTGGGTRCAGAAGCAGAGCTAGCACAAATATCCTTTTCTTCTGTGACAGTTTCACAGAAGATTTGTTCTTATTGGTTATTAGTTTGTTCTCCCCCTTAAGTTCAGAACTTTAACCTTTTCACCTAAAGGAACTTTACAGCTTCTCTTTGATTTATCTGTATAGCCAGCATCACTACTCTTACTCTTTGGGGCCACTACTAAGTAAAATAAGGGCTAGTTGAGCGCAAGCACTGCAATACAGTGACAATCTGATAATCAGGACAGCTACTAAGCAGCTAACAGGTGGTAGCATATACAGCATGGATATGATGGACAAAGGGGTCATGTGTGTCCCTGGAGGACAGAGTGGGCACAATGTGAGCCTTCATCATGCCACCTAAAATGACGTAGAGCACAAAACTGATGAATTGTTTGTTTCTAGAATTTTCCATTTAATAGTTTTGGACCACTGTTGGCCACAGTAACTGAAGCTGTAGAAAGCCAAACCTTGGATAAGGGTGACACTCTAGCCTGTTAAGACACTCAAAAAACAAGCAAACCAGTTCTTRCTGAAGAAAGGATCTTGGGTTAAATGATTTTGGATTTGAGATTATATATTCTATGAAATGAAAGAAATAAAACACAAACATGCAAATGATGTTTGTCAGAATGTCTTCCATGATGCAAATCCATGGAGTGACCTGCCAGGTATGGGCAGCGGCTGAGCAAGGAACTTTTGAATTTCTGCAGTTCATTTGTTCTTTCACCCAGAAAGCAACTCAAGAAAAGCAACATTGCATTTCAGATTATTTGAAAGAATCACAGTACTCACCTATCTTCAATCATAAAATTGTCTTATCTGTGTTTTCAATGAAAGTAGTGCTAAACATWATTTGTTAAAAATATTTTAGCCTGACATTTTTTTTAATTGTGTTGAAGAAAATTTGAAGAATTCCAGGGAAAAGCATCTTAGTGTCAAAATGCGTGGTTATTTTAAAAATAATGCAGTGTTGAGGAAAAGAGCAATTTGCTCCAAGACATATTTCAGTGCTGATCTTTCATGAAGTGTTTTCTCCCATCATCATGAGTGTTCCTTCAGTTGCTCTAGGCAAGTCCTAACATCCATTTAAAAACCTCTGGGAAAGCTGAGGTATGTGCAGCGAATTTCAGTGATGGCTTGGTCACCAGCAGAGCTGGGACTAGTTTGGGGTCTGCAGATCTCATCTCTCCACTAGGCTTTTAGATGAATTAAATCTTGAATAAATTTAGGAGTCAAAAGAAAAAAAACACCAATCAGTGGCTCTTTTACCAATCATCCACTCTTCTTGTTGAGTTGGACACTGGAAGGAGGAGCATATATATTATATGTTATTTATTTCATCTCGGCTTAACAGAAGTGATCTCTTGTAATAAGGAAAATGTAAAAAAAAAAAAAAAGCTGCATATGATTTAGAAGCCCACTCAGGCTTTATACCCTGTGTATTATCACACAACAGCTCAGATTAACCAAGAGAAAGACCCTATGGAACTTTTCCATTGATAAAAATTGACCATCAATTAGGGAAAACAAAATTTTACCCAAAAGCTAAGAAACAGGGAGGCATGGTCCCTTTCCACTTGCTACAGTACATAGGAGGAGCATCACATGCAATAGTTAGTACCAGAACCTAAAGTTAGCAATCCTGCCAGGAACAGAGTAGGAGCATAAATATTTGTTCAGTGGGTGAAATCATTTTGGAGGGCTGATCAGGAAGCCAACCAGTGCTCTGAAGCTTTTCCAGACAATTCAGGGATCTGAACTGGCCAAGGCATGGGAACAACTCAGTCCACCTAAAACCTACAATTCATTGATGGTCAGTATTCATTACAATGACACAAGTATTGCAATATTCTTGTTGTACCTTCCAAATCATCAAAGACTCCTTAAAATTCAATGCAATCTCAGTATTAAGTACATTTTACCATGTGAATTATTGCATTTGAAGTTTGGCCACTTAAATTTGACAAATGTTCCCTCTCCATGAAGTGGCATATAGATTAAAATTCTTCCCCGTTATGCCAGGCTGCAGAGTATCTTCAACTGCTTACCACCATGTGGCAAAAGAGCSCAGCCTGACCTTATCTAACCCAGGGAGAGGGATGCCCAAGTACAGAAGATGTCTTGTCAGAGTGGGTGAAAATATACCAGAGGAGAGGGGTTCCAAGYGAAGCGAGGGAGTGTGTGTCGTGATGAGGATGTTAGCACAGACTCTGGCAGCTGGAGCGRTGGTGCATGGCAGGGTTGAGTCATTTAATGCCGTTGGCATTGAGKGGGAAGGAAAGTGCTAATTTGGGATGGTTTGTATCAGATTAGCACTCCTATCTGATTTAAGACAGTAATTATTGGGTTTTACCAARTGAAGGGAGGTTTGGTTT